TCCTTCTTCAGTAACTTGTTGTTGTCGTTATTATGTGCCGTCGAGTTGGACCAGACTTATAGTGACCCGCCCTTGGGTTTCCAAGGCAGTATCACTGGGGAAGTAGATTGCCCCATCTTCCTTACGAAGAGTGGCTGGTGGGTTTGAACCGCCAGCCTTCTGATTAGCAGTCAAATGCCTTAGGCACTACACCACCAGAGAGGCAATTGAAAATACCACAGTTTGGGACAAGTTCATCTTAATCCTCAAAGTGATTTATTTGCTTTTTAATACATTAAAGAACTCTTTTGGAGCATATTTGCCTTGTGCAATACATTGTTTGATTTCTTGACTGCTGCTTCCATGGGTGTTAACTATGGGTCTAGTAAAATTAAATCCTTGACAATTTCAATATTTTCTCCATTTATCATGATGTTACTTACTGGTCCAGTTGTAAAAAAAAAAAAAAAATGTTTTGTTATGTTTTAGTATAATTTTTCCATGTAATTTTTTTTCACCAAACTAATACACCAATTCCCTTCACTTATGTTTCTTTATTTTCTCTAGGAAAACCCACTACATTATGCGAGACTATGGGAAAAGCTGAAATTTGGCTAATTCGAACATATTGGGACTTTGAATTTCCTCGTCCATACTTACCTAACTTTGAGTTTGTTGGAGGCTTGCACTGCAAACCTGCCAAACCTTTACCTAAGGTAGGTGTAATACTTTATGATAGGATGCCTGATCCTGATTTTCCTTTAAAGATTAAAGGCAGAATAAGATGAAAATCTTTGGTTTGTCACTCCAACTTTATTTTCCAATGTCAGGTTGCTCTTTTGAGTGATATCACTAGTTTTGCACTTTATATTGGAATTTTAAGCAGAAGAATGACATATTTAAAATAGTATTTTGAAAATTCCACTGTTTCTATAATGTGGATAATGGATTGGAGATAATGGATAATCTGTAGACATGGAGATTACTAGGGAGGTTTCTCTACTAGACCTAAAAGTTGTGATGGAGATCTCAACAAGCACATGTAGCATAGTGGCTGGTAGATACAAATGCTTTTATGAGAACTTTGTAGTAAATTCCACAGGCTTTGTTGAATAAGAGAAAGTAAGTTTAGAATAGAGACAGAATCAAGGTGGACTTACGCATTAACATTGTGAGTGTTTTGTTTTGTCTTTGGAGAGTGATGACTTTTACTAAAATAGAAAATGATTGGTGGAACCTTCTTTCAGATGAGAATGATGAGTTCAACTTTGGACCAATTAACTCTATGGATCAATTGATATTTCAGGTAGAAATTCTAGAAATATTTGAATATTGCAAGGTCTCAATTCTCAGCAAGGAGCAATAGAAATAGATTTAGAGTCATCAGCATAAAATAGAAGTCAGAGAAATGAGAGACCCAAACATTGAATTGGTTCTTTCCTGGCAGATCTATTTGAAGTGAAAAATAACCAGTCATCACTTTGTCTTACTGTGGTGGCTTGCATGTTGCTATGACGCTGGAAGCTATACTACTGGTATTTCAAATACCAGCAAGGTCACCCATGGTGCACAGGTTTCAGTGGAGCCTAAAGACAAGACAAAGTAGGAAGAACAACCTGGTAATCTACATCTATAATCTACATCTAAAACAATTGTCTAGTGAAAACCTTCAGAAGAGCAGCAGAATACAGCCTGATATAATGTTGGAAGATGAGCCCCTCAGGTTGGAGGGCACTCGAAATAAGACTGAGGAAGGGTTGCTTTCTCAAAGTTGAGTTGACCTTAATGATATTGATGGAGTAAAGCTTTTGGTACCTCTATTTGCTCATGTGGTATGATTCAAAATGAGAACAAATAACTGAAAATATACATTTATTGAAATGTAGAATGAGCAAGAGTATGATGCTAGGAAAATTAGAATTTGTCAAAAATGAAAGGGAACAGTTAAAGATCGATATCCTAGGCATTGTTGTTGTTATGTGCCATAGAGTCAGATGCGACTCCTCCTTGAGTTTCCAAGGCGGTATCTCTATGGAAGTAGATTGCCCAACTTTCCTTCCAATCCTAGGCATTAGGGAACTGAAAGGGATTTGTATTGTCTACTTTAAATCATGCAAACATATGGACTGCTATGCAAAGTTTGACAAATTTTGAGGAATGGTGTCACATTCACTGTCAAAAAGAATATTTCAAAAACTATCCAGAAGTGCAATGCTTTCAGTTATGATAATATCTGTGCACTTCAAGGAAGACCAATTAATATGACTAGTATTCAAATTTATGTACTAATAACTAATGCCAAAAATTAAGAAATAATTGAAGAATTTTACAACTTCTGTAGCCTGAAATTGATCAAACATGCAATCAAGATGCATTGATAATTACCAGTGATTAGAATGTGAAAGTTGGAAACAAAGAAAGATTGATAGCTGGGAATTATGGCCTTGGTAATAGAAATGGAGAACATGTGGTAGAATTTTG